CTGAGAGACCAGCTCGTGTGCGGCGAAAGAGAGAGAGAGAGCTTCAGAGAAATTGTGAAAGAGAGAGAGAACCGAGAAACAAAGCAGCGACAAAGCAAAACCATGAGTAGTTCTTCCTCTTCATCACGTTTCACACATCAAAGGCAAGTAACTGGTGTTCCAACCAGTTGTTGGTGTGGAAGGAAGCTCACGACATATTGTTCTAAAACAGATGAGAATCCATATTGGCATTTCTACAGATGCGAGATCGCTTTACAGGTTAGTACATTAAGAGTTTTTGTAAATCATATTTTCTTTATCACATCCGTCCCTGAATCTATATTGCTTTTAACGATTGTACAGAGAAAAACAGAGGAGCATCTCTTCAAATGGGTTGACGAAGCTTTGCTTGATGAAATAAGAATGGTTGATGCAAAGCTCCTGAGGCTTGTATATGAGGTGAAAGAGTTGAGAAAGGATATGGTGGCCAACTTTGAGGTTCAGAACCAACTAGTGCGTGATATGGAAGAAGAGATGAAAGAGAAGATGAAAGAGAATATGAAGGAAGAGATGATGAACGCCAATGCAGCTATTGAAGAGATGGCTCAAGAGATGACTAAGAAGAATATGTATCGAGTTGGAATCAGCATGTTGGTGGTTGGAGAAGTCGGATGAATTTGTGGAAAGCTTCTTATGGGATAGTTTAGTAGTGAAACATTGGAGTTAGTTAGAAACTTGTGATGATTTGTGTTTGTGTTTGAGTTATTTTGATGAGTTTGTGTTGTAAACATCTTATGAGTTTGCTTTTGCTGTAATGAGAAAACTGCTCCTTTAATCGAAAGTTAGACTCTCTTCTCTTGTTTTTGAGTGCTCATATGTAGAGAGAAGAATACAAGAAAATAGGGACAACAAACCAAAATAAATAGCATTCATGTGACATAGAATCGTTCCAAAAGACTTCAAATGTTAAAAAAAAAAAAAAAAAAAAAAGAGATCGCAAACATGAAAGATCCAATTGACTTTAAAAGTTAAAAAATAACAAAAAAGAGATCGCAAACATGAAAGATAAGAGATCATTCAGTCATTTGTGAGGGCTGAGTTAGTGCAATCGTATCATGTCCTTGAGATGAAACTGAAGCTGAAGCCTGAATTGGAGTTTGAGATGAACCTAAAGTATGAGTTTGAGCCTGAGATGAAACTGAAACCTGAAAAGCAGAAGAAGAAATCAGCTCCGAGTGACTACTAGTTCTACAACATGAGTAACTAAACGGATTCATATGTAACTAAACACAAGTAACTAAACACCCAACAATATCAAAATTAACGAATCAAAGTGCAACAATAACAAACTGTAATTTAAGACAATAATAAGACCTGATTCATTCACTTAAACACTAACAAATCAGAATCATCAAAAACACAACAAAATCAAGTAAAACTACAAAAGCACAACAAAGAGAGCAAGAAATACCTCTAATGTCTTTGTATCTTTTTTCTGTGTCGGCTTCTTCTTTGGATGTAGCTAACAATCCGTGTAATTGTGGCCTTCTTCACCATATTTTGAACTATGAATGATGCGGCCCGTTCTTGGCAATTTTTGGACTTGTTTATTTTTCTTTTTTGGTGACTTGTGCTTACTTTTTATTCTCTTTTTTATCTTCTTCGATTTTTTCTTTCTTCCAGGTAAGTCAGGCTCTGGAGGATCGACAACTAAGCGATAAACTCTCTTCATCCAAAACCGTGGTCCTCTCACTGGTTCCATATTAGTCATGTAATTCAGTCTCCACATTTCTGTTGAGAACTACGGATGTACATAGTTTTCAGCCTCCAAACCAGCATTTATCATAGCTCCATAGGCATGTTCACACGGTATACCTATGAAAAACACATATGCAATTTATAACTCTCATTGAAAACAGCTATTTCGGATAGAGGGAAAAGAGATATACCTGTCACTTGATATTTTCCACATGAACAAGTTTGATTCCTTGTGTTCACTGTATAAGAATTCCCAAAGAGAAACACTTCATGCACACCATGAGTCGCAGGGATTGATGTGCATTTCTCAGCATGCTCCTTCTCCAATGTCAAAGTCTTCTTCACATACTTTGAACACTTCCCATCCCATTTTTCTGATTTCAGCCTTCTCTTTGTGATGCGAGCCATTGCCTGCCTCCGAATCATCTCCATCATGGGTACCATTGCCTTCGCTCGAGCTTTGGTGATAGTTGAGTTGAATGACTCTGTTGCATTATTATCAATATTCTCACAATAGCTTCCGAGTATGTAATATGCGAGAGACCAAATCTCTGGTTTTTCCTTCATCACATCATCATATAAACTCCTACTATAGTGCTGCAGCGCCTTCCGATTCTCTTCAAACTCAACTGTAGTATAGCTCCAAGCTAAATTCCAAACCATCAGCTTTATCAAATCCTTATTTGCATGCCCATTATTCTTCAAGTTCTCTACTATATGCTTGACACACATTCTGTGTTCAGCAGACGGTAACACCTCTTGAACAGCATTAATAATTGCATGTAAACATTTTAAAAATTAGTATACTAAACATAGTAAACAAAATGCCGAAATGAAATGCAATTTGCTTACCCTTGCTCTTTCCGAGATGATGACTTTTCCAAAACCAGTCTGAAGATCCAAGTCTTACTGCAATAGGTTCATAAACCACAACCAATTCGGCCCATTCTCTTTTTGTACAACTGCCCAAGCAATGGGATGGATTTGATTGTTGGCATCATGTCCAACAGTAGTCAACAATACTCCTTTGACAGTTGCTTTCAAGAATGTCCCATCAACTTCAATAATGGGACGACAAGATGCGCTCCCAGTATTCTTCAAGCTTGCTATGCAAACATAGAACCTATCAAACACATCTTCACCAGCCGAATTAGTAGTTGATTCAACTATTGCAGTTGATCCCAGATTCTGAGAGATTATTTCTTCTGCATACCCCCTTAGATGAGCAAATTGTTCTTCATATTCCTTCTCAAGCCACTTCAATGCTAACAGTCAAGCTCTTTGGCACTGATTCCTTGCACTTACGATTCTCCAGTTCTCCTTGATGAGATTCTGAATTTCTTCAGGCATTAAATTTGGTTGTAGCCTCAGTTTGTCCAAGAACAGATTTGCAATCACAGGACTCTTCAGAAGCTTGCATTTTCCATTGGGACTGCAACTATGAGACGTGTACCTAGTCTTCACAATCCACTTCTGACTCGGTTTATCATATGCACAATACACCCGCCACTTGCAATTTTCAGCAATGCCACATCTATAAGAAAGCTTCGTCTGATCCCATCTATCTTGTTTGATGTTTCTTCCTTTGCTCAATGCATAATCTATCACAGCTTGCTTGAACTCATAGCCTGTATAGAACTTCGTTCCTAAAGCTAACAAATCACTCTTCTTCTTTCCCATTCTTCTTTTTTTCACAACCAATTCATCTTCATCTTCATCTGAGCTCTCTGGAATTGTGTGATTTTTCCTATACTTCTCATCAACAAATTCAGCAACATCTTCTTCTATTTCATACTCATATCGCCCTGTTACATCCTCCTCTTCATATATATTCTTTGTTTCCTTATCTTCAAACCCATTCTCTGCTTCCTTATCTTCGTCATCATTCTCCTCTTCCTCACGATTCAAATCATCCCCATCATAGTCATTCTCCCTGTTTTCTCTGCAAAAAAAAAACAAACATCAATATCTCTTCTCTCTTAATCTCGTAACTAGCCTTCTCTCACTATCCAGAAATACGACTTACGAATTCAAATTTTAAATTTCGTTCAGGATTTCTTACCTTATAACAACTGCTAGTTCATCCATCTCTCTTTCGCAGCACACGAGCTGGTCTCTCAGCTGTTGAAGATTTCTTTGAAACTAGAACCCGAAGACAATAACCAAACCGGCGACGTTTCCGTTCTGATCCTTTATCGTGAATTCTCTCTGAAACTCTCTCTCTCTCTCTCTCTCTCTCTCTCTCTCTCTCTCTCTCTCTCTCTCTCTCTCTCTCGCTCTCTCGCTCTCCGAAGCTCTGTTTGTCGCGATGAACCTGAAAACCTAATTCCCAAATCAGTTTTGACTTAGGACAGTTCGGGTTTGGAAAATCTGGATCGTTGGATTCGGGTTAAATTAATTTTCGGGCAATCACTATTTCTAAACGCGATTTAGGTAATTTAGTCGCCAATTAACTTTTTTAGCTTCTCAGGTGCAATTAGGCAGGAAAACAAAGTTTGGAAGGGAATGTGATTCCATGTTATAGTTTGGGTGGGGGTGGGGGAGGGGGGGGAAATGACGAAGTTACGAGTTCGGGTGGATTTAATCAAAAGGAGAAGTATAGGGGAGCGTAAGCAGTCAATCCTTTTTTTTGTGCGAATGAGATTTTGTTCCATACTGAGACTTTAATTGGTGACCATATAAGTAACAATAGGAATGAATAGGAAAATGAATAAAAAGAATAAAATAATATGAATTATTGTTCCTTCTCATTTTTTATAAGAAATATATTAACATTATAATTTCCTAAAATATAAGGAATGAGAAAAAATCATGGATACAATATATTCCTTTTAAATGGTGTAATTTTTAAGGAATGTTAATATTTTTTTTCATTTTTTATGGTCACCGGTTACAGCCTGAGAAGTGAGAATATTTCTTTAGGAAACGAATTGAGTATTACACGCGGTTGTATTACACGCACTAATGAAAGCGCGTATCAAATTATCTTTGACTCATATCTAAAGTTTTGACTTTAGTGTCTACTGTCACTACTGGCAATAGATTTGATTTGACTCTCTACTTGCTTCGAGGAAAAGTATAGTTAGAATGTTAGAGAAAGCGTTTTTGCCATCTGTATTCCGTCAAATATCGCCGTTAGATAGGAACGGACGCCGTTTGCTCTTCATGCTCCGGTAACGGCGGTAAGTCTTTAATGGAAACTCAATTAATTACTTCACAAAAAACAAAGAGAATAAAAGATCTCGTTCTTACTTTTTGTTTCTTCTCAAGCTTCTCTCTGAAGCCAAAACAAAGGTAAAGATAAAAAAAAAAAAAAAAAAAAACGAGAGTGAAGCAAGAGGAGGTGAAAAAATAATCATTCACTCTTCTTTGAGGTTCTTATTTTTAACAATTTAACTATGTTTTTTCGCGACCTGATTCTTCATTTTTCTGTTGTTACTTTCTTCAGATTCCAACAAAAAGAAAAACCCTGATTGAAAACAAAAATGCACGGAGATTATCAAGTGATGAAATCAGGCGAAGAGGAAGAAGGACATCTGGTTATTAATCCGGACAACATTTTCGGCTCGGCGTCTTCTTCTCCGACAGGAACATTCCAAAATCCTGATTTCAAATTTACTTTCGAAAACCCCAATTTCTACATTGTCCCGGTTTGTTCTCTCTTGCTAAACCCTAATTTGTCCACGTTTGTTATTTTTCACTTGAAAAGAAGTTTATAATCTGGTGTGGGGTTTCAGAAAGAAGAGGATGAGATGATGAGCATGATGGATGGCGGGTCGGGTGGATCAATCGGGTCGGGTAATGACCCAGTGGAGGATAGTGCTATCGAACAACAGCTTCCTCCGGCTAAGAAGAAACGCCTCCATAGACACACTGCTCATCAGATTCATGAAATGGAAGCGTACGTCTTGCCGTTTTTCTTTAAAAATAGTTGATTAAGATTGATGATTACTACGAATTACTTGGTATTGTAGGTTCTTTAAGGAAAATCCTCATCCGGATGACAAACAAAGAATGAGATTAAGCCAAAAACTTGGTCTTATGCCCCTACAAATCAAGTTTTGGTTTCAAAACAAACGTACCCAAATTAAGGTTATTTCACTTATATATGCCTTTGGTTTTGATTTAAACAAGGTTAATTAATTAGACCGGTTTTATTTATTAAAAGGTCCTAAAGATCTGGCTCATATCAAAATTAAGTTGGTCTTTCGATCGTTAAACTTTTGGTCCCCTATATTTGAACATGGTTATTAATTGTTGCTAATAATGAGATTAACAGACACAACAAGACAGAAGAGAGAATGTAATGCTTAAAGCAGAGAACCAAACTCTTAAGACAGAGAATCGCAAACTTAAGTCCGATCTACAATGCCTCTCTTGCTCGTCTTGCGGCGGCTCCAGCGACAAAATCCGCCTCGAAAACTCCCGCCTCCGTCAAGAGGTATATATTCAAACGAATCAATCTTAGCCGTTGATGTTTATCTACTAAATAAATCAAACGGCTATTATGTGCTCCAGCTTGATCGGTTACGCAACATTGCTTCATTGATGAAGCCTTCTCTTCCTCCACAAGACATTGCCCCTTTCTTCCCGGAGGCATATAATAACAACGACTTGGTAATTGTGGAGGCAGAAAAGGAGACTGTGATGGATCTTGCGGTTTCTTGCGCTCATGAATTAGCAATGATGTGTGACACAAATGAGCCCTTGTGGAGTAAGAAGAGATCAGAAAACGGGAGTGTCTGTCTGAACGAGGAAGAGTACAAGAAGATGTTCTCATGCCCTCCAATGAATGATGATGATCACAACAAGAACAACAACAATGGAGACCGTTTTCGTAGAGAGGCTTCAAGAGCTAACGCTGTTGTCTTCATGAACAGCATAAACCTCGTCAACGCTTTCCTTGACGCAGTAAGAAAAAGAAAAAAAAAAAGTCAAAACGCACTTCTTAATTACAGTTTTCAAAGCTCACAATAAACATTGAATCTGTTAAAATTTTGCTTGAAGGAAAAATGGTCGGAAATGTTCTGCTCGATAGTGTCAAGAGCCAAAACGATTCAAACCATTTCTAGAGGAGCTTCTGAAGCAAGATGTTCTCTTCTTCTGGTGAGTAACTAAATTGTAACATATTAAAGAGTCAAAAAATCAATTCGTGTTCTTATAATAATGGACTGTTTGTATTGTTTATTCAAAAAGATGTATGCAGAGTTACAAGCGCCATCTCCATTAGTACCAACAAGAGAAGCTTATTTTCTTCGGTACGTGGAGCAAAACACGGAAGAAGGAAAATGGATGATTGTAGATTTCCCGAACGATAGGATCAAACCAGTTTCAGCTATTACAACTGATCAGTACCGGAGGAAGCCTTCTGGTTGCATCATTGAGGACATGCTTAACGGATACTCTAAGATCACGTGGGTGGAGCACGTGGAAGTGGATGAGAAGCACGTGCCCCACGAGATGGTTAGAGAGTATGTGAAGAGCGGTGCAGCCTTTGGTGCTGGACGGTGGCTAGCTGTGTTGCAGAGACAGTGTGAGAGGATGGCTAGTCTCATGGCTACAAGCGTCAATGACCTTGGAGGTATAACTTGTTCCACAAGTAAACATAAAACTAACACAGTCAATGTCTGATTTCTCGGTTTATTCTTCAGAGATACCATCTGCAGAAGCGAAGAGGAACTTGATGAAGCTGTCACAGAAAATGGTGAGAACTTTCTGTCGGACCATAAGCAGTTCGTGCGGACAAGCATTGTCTGAATCAACAAAGGACACAGTGAGAATCACAACCAAAGAAGTTTGTGGTGGTGTCGTTCTATGTGCCGTCTCCACTACGTTTCTTCCTTACTCTCATCTTCGAGTCTTTGATCTTCTCCGCGACCTGTCTCAGGTATAAAGAGTAAAACCAGAATCTTCCTCCACTGTTTCTTTTGATCCAAGATTCAGAAAATTAGAAATTGAAATTTTGTTCTCCCTTCTGAAGATGGAGATGTTGTTCTATGGGAATTCACTTCAAGAAACTGCTCGTATCGCTAATGGGTCACATCCTGGAAATTGCATCGCTCTTCTTCGGATCAAGGTTGGTGCTTTTTTCCTAAATTTCGAAACTTTTCAAAAAAATTTGAACTTTAATGCTAACATTGTCTTGTATATATCTGATATAATCACAGGGGACGAGCAATTCATCGCAGAATGCTGAGTGGATGCTTCAAGAAACTTGCATTGATACTTCCGGCAGTCTCGTGGTCTACTCCACCGTCGACTCCAACTTTGTTCAGCTCGCTATGAACGGCGAGGATCCTTCTAGAATTCCCCTTTTGCCCCTCGGGTTATCCGTTGTTCCCGCCAATTCATCCGTCAATTTGCCTTCGTGCTTGCTCACCGTTGCGATACAGGTCACCGTGAGCAACCTCGCCACCGCAAGTCTCAAACTTTCCACCGTTACCGCCGCCATCAACAACCGCATTTGCTCCACTGTCAACCGTATTTTCTCCGCGCTCGGAAGCTCCGGCTCGTGCTTCAAACAAGATAACAGCAAGTAGGTGAAGATTTCGAGGGTATTTTGGTAAATAAATCACTGATTAGGCTTATTTTGTAGACGAGGGTAAATTCGATGGGATGAGAAGGGTAAAACATGAATTCACCACTAATTTATTGGGGGAGTCAAGAACGAACCAAGAATGATGACATTTTTTATGAACCGGGTTTTATCCGGTTTGAAAACTGCGTGACTGGTTCGTGTATTGACTTCCATATCGAATTCGTAGAATCGTTTGGTATTATGGTATTATTCTTTTTATTAATTTTGTTAATCTGTTTATTATTCTTGGTTCGTTCTTGACTCCCCCCAAAAAATTAGTGGTGAATTCATGTTTCATATCGAATCCTTTAAAAATATAGTCTAAAAACCCTAATCTGTCTCACTAACTTTCACAAATTTTCTCCGATCCGAAAAAAATGGGGAACCCTAAAGTTTTCTTCGACATAACCATCGGTGGCGCACCAGCCGGTAGGATAGTGATGGAGCTTTACGCCGATACGAACCCATTGACGGTGGATAATTTCCGTGCTCTGTGCACCGGAGAGAAAGGAATCAGAAAGTATATCTACATACAAAATATCTGCGTTGCAGAGACTAGTCTCATGGCTACAAACGTCACTGACCTTGGATGTATAACTTGTTCAACAAGTAAACTTGAAACTTAAACGATCAATGTGAATTTGATCCTATTTTCGCGGTTTCTTCTTCAGTAATACCATCTGTAAAAGCGAAGAGGAATTTGATGAAGCTGTCACAGAGAATGGTGAGAACTTTTTGTCTGACCATAAGCAGTTCGTGCGGACAAGCATTGTCTGAATCAACTAAGGACACAGTGAGAATCACAACCAGGAAAGTTTGTGGTGGAATTGTTCTCTGTGCAGTCTCCTCCACGTTTCTTCTTCCTTATTCTCATCTTCGAGTATTTGATCTTCTCCGCGACCATTCTTAGGTAAAGAGTAAAAACAGAATCTTCCTCCACTGTTTCTTTTGATCCAAGATTCAGAAAATTCGAAATTGAAATTGAAATTGAAATTCTGTTCTTCCTTCTGTAGATGGAGCTGTTGTTCTATGAGAATTCACTTCAAGAAGTTGCTCATATCGCTAATAGATCATATCCCCGAAATTGCATCTCTCTTATCCGGATCAATGATAATGTTTTTTTTTTTGAAAATTTCGAAACTTTCTAGTTTTTATTGCTAACATTGTGTATATCTGATAGTACAGGGGCAGAGCAATTCATCGCATAATGTTTAGTTGAATGTGGGGTTGTAATTATAAAAATCCACAAAGTTTAGATTTGCCTAAAAATCTCTCAAAGAGATTCGTGGGGGCAATTATTCTAACAAGCTCCAAAAAAATTTCCTCTACTCCTTTATAGAAGATTCAGTGTGCTTCCTACTTTTTCATTCCAATCAGTCTTTTTCCTATTTGTACCTTTTCTTTTCATATTTTGAAGGATTTTGGCGTTGTGTTGAAGTGACTTTGAGGTGTAAATTTGTGATTGGGACACTGTTGTATGATTGATTGATAGATTAAAACTCGTTTACGTATTTGTTCGTCATACCTCTATTTTGCGTATTTTATCACTAGTTTTGTTAGTTATTATAGTTTTGTTTCCGATATATCATATATGGTAAACAAATTTTTTTTTAACATTAATTTCGATTATATAGATTTCAATCGCAACAAAAATATGCATAACAAACTGATTCGTAAAATTGCAAAATAAACAAAAAAAAAAGAAAAAAACTAAATTTTCACTCTTTAGTTCCCGAGTATACTACAGTAGGACTTTTCAGACATATTCATAAATCATACTTCTAATTTTAGAAAATATTTAGGAAAATATAACTACTATTTTTATTGACAAATTAACAATTTTAAATCAAAGAAAATAACATTGGAATCATTTTTAACCTTGTATCATCTTCTATTATTTTAGTTATACTGGTATAAATTTATCATAGTCATTAATTTATGATATATTATTTATATCAGTATCTAAAAAAAATATTCCTTATTGAATTGTCTACCCAATTCAAAGCCGGAAAAGGTTATTATATTATCGTGAATATTAAATTATTATATATCTTAGTATCATGTAAAGATTTTATTGTACTCATATTTATGGAACCTTTCTTTTCTAATATTTTACCCTAATAGCTTGACATTTCTCCAAATTAATAATTTCACCAATCCCGCAGAGGTATATCATAAGTTCCTGGTTAACAAAAAATAAGTCATAAGTTCCCTTGAATTAGTATATAACCAGTACATTAGAAACTTTTTAAATTAATATTTGATAAATTAATAAAATCAATAAATCAATAATTTTGCTTGGTTTTAAATTGGACCGGTTCAAAATTTAATAAAAATCGATTAGTTATAAGATAATAATTATTTTTGAAAATCTATATAAAATATAGTCCCATTAATATCATAAATTAATAAATATTATATAAAATAATTTTATATAATTATATAATTATAATAATCTATTAAAATATAAATATATTATTGTTTTCATATTAAAAATGAAATATTTTTATTATTTATTTCTAATTTTATAATAAAAATATTATAAAATATTATAAATTTTACTGAAATTATTATTTTAAATTAATTATTAATAAACAATTTATTTGATCTAAAATCAATAAATTTAATAACTCTATAAATTAATAAAATATTAAAATTCCAACATTATCTAACGAGACGGCTTACTACAAACTCATCATTATACTGGTTTCATTAATAGAAATTCTATAAATTAATAATATTAAAACTTTAATATTTTATTTATTTATATAATTATTAATTTATTAATTTTGAATAAAATAAATTATAAATAAATAATTAAAAAAATTTTAAAAAGTTTATAATATTTTCTAAGTTTTTATTTAAAAATTATAAATAAACTATAACAATAAATTAATTATAATAAAAATAATATTATACTTATATTATAATAAATTATCATATTTATATAAATTTGTGTTTATGTTAATTATTAATTTATAATATAAATAGAATTTATATTTATATTGATTTTAAAAAAATTATTATCTTATTAATTTATCGATTTATTTTATATTTTGAACTAGCTCAATTTAAATCAAAAAATTATTAAATTATAGAATTTATTGATTTATCAAATATTAATTTATAAAGTTTCTATTGTATATCTATATATGTATTGCTTTTTCGACCGTTTTCATTCTTTTGTTAAAAACGAATTCAACAATAGTTTTATAATGTTTTAAAATCATTAAATCTTCTAACTTTGTCTTATGCATCGTCGGTCGGTAGCGGCTTACAATCAAGTAATAGGAGGCGATATGCATCTTGAAGTACTCTTTAATCAATTTAACATTTTACCCCAAAACAAAAAAAAAGTACTCTTTAATCTTTATGTTCTTTTAGAATTTCATTATAATTGCTTCTTCTTCTTTTATTCGTCTTTCTTGTCTTTTATCGTTCGTCTTGCCGAAGCCGAACTAACCTGGAAGGATCGACTTTAAGGGAAACCTATTTTTGGATTAGTCCTAAATAACATCATTTTATCGTTGTCTTATAAAAAAATTCTTACGAGTTATAAGTATGTTTAATCAAATATGTGAAATCAAAAATTAAACAAATCAATGGATCGTCCCCAACATTATCTGTCGATGTATGGGCTTAGGGGACATGAATTATCAGAGGGCATTTCGGGAATCAAATCTTGGACTGTCCATCGGTGGCATAGGGCCAAAACTTAAATTGATGTCGTATGGTATTTTTGACAAAAAAAGTTAATGCTTTGTAGGACAAAAAAAAAACTTAAATGTTAACTTGTTTTTTAGAATGAGCTAACAAACATATATATACACATATCTTTGTAAGAATATATATATATATATAATACATATCTCTTTATAATCTAAACCAATGTTTCGATTCGAAACTATATACATATCTATTTGTTATTGCTTTGCTGGTTGATTTAGACTCATGATCGTATGCTTTATTTGTAATTACTAGAGGATGTTATGGCCATCCGAACATTAGATGCTATTAAAAGGAACGCAATATGTATGTATCTTTTGTCAAGGTCATATTATACTTTTCCCATTTCTGACACTTTTAAATTTGAATCTTATCACAAACAAAATCACCTTCACCACAAGAACTATATATATATATATATATATATATAACAAAAAAAAAACATTTATTCAGGTATCATATATTCAATATATTCTTAGGCAACCAGCCACCAGGACCGTAAAGCAAAAACAAATGTTCGGTATAATTCCAAACTCTAACTTCAGAGAAGACAAACAGCTGAAAAAGGACAAACTACAATTGACGAGGAGACTCACGTTTCTATTTTAATTTCTGTTATATTCTCTCCATCTTTTAGAATTCATCATAAGCATTTTTCGATTAACATTGTACCATTTTATCGACAACTAAACAAGTAGCTATTTTTTCCAATAAATATCATAATTTTATTTTATTTTCATTCTCGTGTATAGCTATTAAATATATTAATAACACGCACATATTTCAGTTTCAACCCAAGTGTCATTTTCACATGTAAATCTGAACTCAAGTAATGGAATATTTTCATACATTATTGTTATACCCTCATTAAATATTGATATGTGATAGATGATATCTACATTTTAACAAAATATGCTATTGAAATTGAAATTGATATTTTCCTATATATACGAAGAAAAATACGAAAAGAAAAATTTAATGGAAATTCATGTTTCACCCAACCCCTTTAATAGACTCTTAAAGTGTCATTTTCTCAAAGGGAACAGAGAAGAAAGAGACTTATCATTCCCCTCATACCTTTTGCCATCTCTCTCTCTAATTCTTTGCAACTGCTTTTCTCCTTTCACCAAGAACAAAAGATTCATTAAGGAAGAAGAAAGATCCTTTCTGAATTAATAAGATTATACCCCCCCCCCCTTTCTCTCAAACTCATCAAAGTTATCTCAAATTTATTCATAATTATTTCTTGTTATGGAGCTTTTCCCTTCGCAACCTGACTTGTGCTTGAAGATCAGCACAAGAAGAGATGAAGAAGGAGAATATCAAGAACAAGAACAAGTCGAAAGGAGATTAGGGTTTCGGGGTAAAGCCTCGGACAGCAAATCTTCTGACAGTCTCATCCACACTCTCCAATTCACTTCAAACAATGAACCCATCAAGATTGATAATCAAGAGCATAAGGAACCTCTCGATCAAGACTTGAGATCTATGTTGATGATGAGACCAATAAGAGGAATTCCTCTTTACCAAAATCAAATCCTTGACCATTACTACTACTCTACCACTCCTCCTTTCTTCTTTAGTGAAGTCAACGGTCAACACGCAAACCCTAATAATAGGTTTAATCTTCACCACCGTCATCGGCGTCAAGCTCAGCCACAAACGCCGAGATTCACGGTGAAACGAGGAGCAAGAGCTCCGAGGATGCGGTGGACGACGACCCTTCATGCCCATTTCGTTCATGCTGTTCAATTATTGGGTGGTCATGAAAGTATTGTCCTTTTTCACAATTAACTTTTTTCTCTTTTCCTTTTAATTAATAATACCTCTCTCCTTTTTTTAGCTGATTGAATGGGCTTTATATATATATAGATTATATGTTTATTGATTTTGTGATTTTTATTAATATTAAGGAGCAACTCCAAAATCAGTACTTGAGCTGATGGATGTGCAAGATCTCACATTGGCTCATGTTAAATCTCATTTACAGGTAATTTTCTCTATTACTTCCTAGCTCATATAGTGTACAGTCAACATATAATCAAAGGAATTAGACCCTTTAATATATATGTATATAGAATCACAATCTACTTATATGGTTTCATTGTTTATTGCACTGACCCATTGCACTATTTATTGAAATGACGTCTAAATATATAATGTGATTAGTCGTTTTGTCACCACTATATAGTCTATATATTGAGAAAACATATATAACAAGTGAAACAAGAAATAATAACAAACAAAAAAACGAATCAAAAGCTAAATATAGCCAAAAGACCAAGAGAGATCTAGTCCTTTTAGACGTAACTAAGAGATGCAGAAGAAAAAGTAAAGTACAAAGAAGGCATCATTCTTCAATGATGATAATGTTCTTTCTCAAGATTCATATATGCACACACATATGTATATGCATGATTCCCCAATGATAATATATAAAGAAAACCACTTTTTTGCATAATTTAACTATGGTTAGACACGTAGACCCATGCACATACCCCATCTCTGTGTATGGCTGCACCTGCACATTTTCATGAATCGTAAATGCTTTCTGTTTTACTTTGCTCTCTTTTTTTTCTTACTTTATCCATCTCTATCTCTGTGTGCGTGCACATATGTTTATATATATATATATATATATATATATATATATAGAGAGAGAGAGAGAGAGGTACACACGTGAATAGAAGAATTCTACACATACAAACATCCATCACACACACACACATATTTATTTATTGATCGTAATAACCTATTCGTATACCTATTCATTGGTATAATTTAGTTGTATGGTAATCAAAGGTATGATGTTTCAGATGTATCGGACCATCAAATCTACTGAGAAGCCTACATCATCATCAGGTTATTGGATGAATTATGTTTTGATTTATTTCAGTCTCTCTTAAATACTATAAAACGTTTGATAAATGTGTGTTTTATAGGGCAGTCAGATACTTGTGAAAATGGATCACATGTAAACAGGGAGAGACAGGCAAGAGACCTCCAGGGTCTATGGAATAACTCCTCAAGGTATGTTATGCTTAAATTAATATTTCTCTTAATAATAATTATAATTTTTAGTTTATTGTGTTAATTTCGTTTTGTCGGGAAGATGGCTATATACTTATTAGACAACTTGCTATATTTGCGTCATATGAGGAACGTAACATTTGTGTAATATTGTTTGTTCCGTCTTAAAATCATTTACCGTTATTCCTTTTAAAAAAATGTGTGGTAAAATTGGGATGTCTGGCTGTCTGCATAACAGTGAAGCTCGGTTCCATTTAAAGGCAAAGGCATCATCAGCTGTAGATATTTCATCCAATGAGGTACCAAAATTTCAAAAATCTAACCAAAAGGGGATTGGAATAAAACGGGATTGCAAAATTCGAGGGTGAAAAAGTGAAAAGTTTTTGTAAAGGATTTTTATTTACTTTTTCTCTTCCATTTGGGTAATTAAAAAGTGTTTTTCTATGTCTCAAAAGCAGAGAAAAGAATGACTTTTGGGGAGACTTTATTTGTCTCAGTCCAATTCAAAAGACCTTTTCAACAAGAAATAAAACGAGAAAAATCGTAATATGCAACTTCTTTTTCTTTGAAAGGGAACATGCAATCTATACAATATTTTTATGATATGATTCTTACACATATATAATTCATTTGATCAAAAATGTTATCAGAATGTGGATCGAAGATGTTCTAGCAACGACCGACTGTCATCGGATTCGTCAAGCCTCACTGGGACAAGACCAGAGACTGAAACTCCCAATCTCGATTTCACTTTAGCTACACCAAACCTTCCTCCCTAATTTACTACTACTATATACGATAAAATAATAAAAGTTGTTAAAATATAGAGAGATATCAAACTTTAAAATTATTTTTGCATAATGAAAAAAAAATATGAAATGATGTTTATTTCTTCGATTAATTGTTTGTTCTTTTGCCCTGTAAACTTGAGATGCTTCATTTTCAAAAAAAAAAAAAAAAACTTGAGATGCTTTTTGTTAAACGGGGTCGTCATGTTTATATGCAGACTTCTTTTTTTTTTTGTCGGCATATGCAGGCTTCTTGTCGTGAAAAATATGGAATAATAAAAATATATATGGAATAAAAATTATTTGATCATCATTACAGCGATGCAAAGCTACGACTGCTCCACGTCTAGACCGATCTGCTTTATTACTGAACACATGGTTGTCTGACACGTGCCAGACCGTTCGGACGTTGACGCGCCATAGACTTTTACGGTTCACACTAGTTTTCCTTTCCCAATATTCGATATTTGGTAAAGACAAAAAAAGAGAATAAAATCCATCTACAATTCCAAATGCTAAAATAAACTAATCATCAGATGGCTCTTTTGGCTAACATAAGAAGAGCTTATATAAATGAATACATGCGTTTTTTAAAAAATATACTATTATTATACTATATCATTAATTTGGTAAACCATTTCACTAAATTTTTAGAGTGAAAATATTGTGATAAAAGGTATTTTATTGCTAAACTAGACATATGTCTTAATACTTAAAGTGAAGAAATTAGCAATTTCCCATTTTAAGTGTTGAAATTATCAATATATTCCAGTTTTATTAATTGGGCATTGTATTTAAAAGCATCCAATATCCCGAATACAATATTGTACAACATGCATATCCACATATCAAAAGAGAAATAATAATATGCATTCAATTTAACTAGATGATACCCTAGAAGGAAGAAACTAATAAGTAAATTCAATGTATCGATCGTTACACAAATGATATTACTACAAAGTCCAGGCATCTCGATCAACTGCAAAAGACCAGCCTCGTTTATTATGGCGAGTAGAAAGGATGGTCAGATTTGCATCTTAGATTCACCGAAACCATTCCATCACCCTTGGATTAACTTCAGCCAAATCTAGTCAAGGAAGTGATCCAAGAGTTGATCACAAATTATTCTCTCATTTGTCACTTTTATATTATTTAGTACACTTTGCAAAGACAATTGTCTTTATGTCATTTATGTTGGCTTGGCCACCACAAGCTTAGAAACTCTATAAAAGACCGGAATAAACCGGTTATCAAATCATCGAAAACACATGGGGTTTGGTGACATAAGATTCTTGATCCTCCTCATGCAATCTGTATAGCTCAAGTGGTGCATTCGATCCACTCCTACGTACCAAATATATATGTTTTAAAAGTATACTTAAGAAACAATATATACAAATCGTGAGTTGTCGTCCATCATCTTTTGTTTTCTTCCGCAACAAAACAAGTGGTGCATTGGAGACTCGTGTAGTCAGTGTTAAGAGGCTCCACCTGTGAGACCATTTGAAAGAAGAGATATATGGCGAGGTAAATCAAGAACTTGATTTTTTATTTTATCCTCCTCCGTAAAGTAATATCTAATACTAGCATACATCATATCAAAATTCAGGAGAACCAAAACATACATATTACACTCTGAAAATTGTTATGTGAACTTACTTACTAATACAATATTATTTAAAGAAAACCAAACTCACTTTTATTCTTCAGTTTATGCTATTTATTATACGTTAAGATTGTTGAAGTGATCACATCTGCGCCTCACCTCTCCATCTTTATCGCCTTTAACGCCGACTGTACCTAGTTTCTCCATGGCACGTGCGAAATCCTCGAAGAACACCGTTTGATTATTCGCATATAACTCGACAAACGGTCTCGTGCTATTGTCTTTAAACAAGATATGGTCAGAAGCTAACAGTCCAAGCCCTCTTCTCAAGTTCTTGAAATACATATTATCGAATTTTCCTGGCGTCACCGGATCAAGAAACGCCGCCATGGTCTTATTCACCGTATAATCCTTGCATAGATTTTTAAGAACCCCTGCGAATTTCGCGTCGAGCTCTGGATCAGTCTTTGGTCCGAAGATTCGGTTGCTGAATTCTTTGCAGTGAGAAAATCCGACAGTGTGCCCGCCGCTTAGTGCAACCATCTCCTTTAGAGTGAAACCGTTCTTTTTGAATATCGCCATCATGTCGTTGACCGTATGATTAGCTAATGGTAAGTTTCCTTTAACTTTATGGGCTTTTGACTCAAACCCATCTTTACGACCCAACATGACTTCATAGAAAGGCCCACCAATCATTGTGACAAGGTCACGCGTGGACTGAGCCAGGATGTCAGCGCAGGATACAACACCGGGACAAGACAACTCAAGAGCTGTTTTGATGCGAGCCACTATGTCGAACGCGTCTCCTGGAAGCGACTCGTTGAGTTCATCGTCACGTTCGGCTTTGTTGAAAGAATTTGTAGATACTAGAACGGAAGCGTCGCATCCTTCCAAGAAACAATCGTGGAAAAAAAGACGGAGTGTTCCTGCAGCTGTTGTTGGCTGCTGCGATTGCTTTGTAGTAACGGTTTCACGAAGGATTTTACTGAAATCAGGACATGTTTTTTGGTAATAATCTTTCGTTAAACTCGTACCCGGTGCTGATAATATGGACGGGACAAAGAGTAGGGCGACGGAGAGAACGCTTAGAAACGTTGACATTGTGGTTTTCATGAGATGAATATCGATCTACGATTAAAATGATTTTGTCAAATGTGGAAATGGAAGTTAAATCAATAGATATCTACGAGGTGGACCTCTCTATTTGATTGTTGTCGAGGAAAAGTAGATGCATGTACGTGCGGTTGGAGTTTGGCTCTCTTTTTTTTCTTAATTCCTCCTATATTTGTAATTGGTCTATATATAGTATATTTGTTTGTTAGTTTCATTTTGTTTGATTAGAAACGTTAGTAGGAATATGTAAAAGGTAAAAGCTTGCTGTCTTGTAGTATCACATGTATGCTGGTTGAGTGGTTGGAGTTTCGAAATTATTTTTAATATTAAATGCATGTTTTATATATATATTGTGTAATTTGAACTGTTGTGGTGGTGAAATAGCCTTAAAGAGTTGCAAATTTCTACCGCGGAAAATATAGTACTTTTCTTTGTTTCTATTACCAATGACAGATTATCTAAGATTAAGAAGGATGATGCAAGAGATAGATCTCGATATTGATAATTAACGTGGTGATGAATTTTCCGGTTAATATGTGCGGAGCAGCGACCGATGAGATTCGTGTCAAGAAAACATATCTCAGGATTAACATGAAGTTTTACTCTCTTTTTTTTTTTGAACCATTGTTTTACTCAATTTTGCTTTGAAAAACTATGCAAGTTGGTGATTTGGAATGTCGTCGATGGACTGCGATTCAGAATATGATTCATGTTCACACCAAACGAAAAAATCAAGACCGTTGATATAAACATTACGACAAAAGAATTGGATTTTCATCAGTTAAGGGGATAAATACAAACACAATTAAGTAATAGTACGAAGATCCTACCCAAAAAAAAAAGTAACAGTACGAAGAAAGATAAATACATATATTTGATAATTTGTTAGCAAGTAAAGCTTGCCTAAAGGAAACAACTTCGCTTTTTCATTATTTCTTGCAAGCGTTGTGAGATTCTTAAGTTTTTTTTTTTTTTTTTTTTTTTAGAACAGTCAGATTCTTAAGTTATACACCTTTTATACATGTGTCTATATATGTGTTTGTGTATTTGTTTGTATTTTTTCAGTGTCCATGTAAATTGTCTTTGAAAAACGAAAACTATATGTATAAAATAAAAAACGGAATTGATCCTCTCTTAAAATCCAAGTTTGGTGAGACAACTTTCCTCGTGATTGAATTATCATTCCACGTGACAATAATGCGATCCAATTATTCATGTGACTCCTGTGTCCTTCAATAAACGATATGATCCAGCATTTTGATCTGTGTACTTAATTATTCATCTACTTTTTCAATTATATATATATTTACATAACAATTCTCACTTTTTTTTAAAGGCAAAAACTCCATATATTAAATTTAAATTTCAAAGATATGAGCTCGAGAGCCAATCACTCTGGGAGAATTAAGTCTACATGAGAAAATAAAAGACCACGGGCTTGAGCGCTCTTAGCGAGGTAATCAGCCCGGATATTTAGAGAACGTGGGATGATATCGAAAGATTCTGAAAATGTGGACGCAAAAGTTCTAGTTCTTCAAGCTCCGTTGCTAGAGATGGCCATTCGTCTTCCTCTTCAATCAGGTTCACCAACTGTAAGTAGTCCGTCTCAAACACCAACCCGAGAATCTGCAATGGCATCATGGTTTTCATAGCCCACAAGAGTGCTTCAAATTCAGCGTGTAGCAGTGAGAGAGATTGTGTTGTTGCTATCGATCCAAATAAGTGACTACCATCAACCCGATCGAGTACAAGGCCTCCGCCAGCTATGTGTCCGTTCCTAACCCAAGAGGCATCTACTTGGCACCGCGGGTACAGAGGTCTGTCATCCATCAGCATTGTCGCAGTCATCGTTGCTGTTGCTTGTGGGCTTTGCCCCTGACTGATACCAAGGGTTCCTCCGAATTCTGTAACCTCCTGTGCAACAACCCAAGCTTCCACTTCTTGTCTGGCAGTTTCCAGGGTATCTGCTGGTAGGACATCTTTATTGTTAAACACCTTCTCATTTCTGGCCTTCCATATATACCATAGGATCCAAGGAAAAACCTCCAAGACTTTTTCAAACTCTCCTTGTAGTGTGACCCGGAAAAGGAGGTATGCAAAATTTTAGGAGATTTCCGTACTCGGGAAGATACCCGGAGGGGATGGGATAGCACATAAGGCCCAAGTTTGTATCGCTGGAGGGCATTCAAAAAGTACATGATTGATCGACTCTACTTCTGCACCACAGCGTTGGCATCGGTTATCTGTCCCACAGTGACGATACTTCAACTGGCTGTTTGTCGCCATACTACCCGAGAGAGCTTGTGGTAACCCAACCCGGTAAACCGTACCGCGGCTGTGTCTCACTACATCCTCTAAGTCCAATTCTATACTTAGCCATATTTTTGAACTTTTTCTTTATTTCTCTAAGTCATTCTTTAACAATACACAGCGGAATATAATAATTTAAGACACTCATTTATTCATCTTTAAAAGCACTAAACAAGATTCGGGGTTCC